GTTTGTCTCCCTCTCTAGTCTCGTCTTGTTTCATTTTTTCCTCTCTTCCCCTATGATCCTCTGTTTTGTTTCTTAAATTCCATGTATCAGTGAGATCATATGATAATTGTCTTTCTCTGATGGACTTATTTTACTAGTTCCGTCCATGTCATTGCAAATGGCAATTTTCATTTTTTTGATGGCTATGTAATATTCCATTGTGTGTCTGTGTGTATGTGTATATATATATATACCACATCTTCTTTATCCATTAATTTGTTGATGGACATCTGGGCTCCTAATTTGGCTATTGTGGACATTGCTGCTATAAACATTGGGGTGCAGGTGCCCCTCTGGATCACTGCATTTGTATCTTTGGGATAAATACCTAGTAGTGCAATTGCTAGGTCATAGGGTAGCTCTATTTTTAACTTTTTGAGGAGCCTCCATACTATTTTCCAGAGTGGCTGCACCAGCTTGCATTCCCACCAACAGTGTAGGAGGGTTCCCCTTTCTCTGTAACCTCACCAACATCTGTCATTTCCTGACTTGTAAATTTTAGCCATTCTGACTGGTGTGCGGTGGTATCTCATTGTGATTTTGATTTGAATTTCTCTGATGCCAAGTGATGTTAAGCATTTTTTCATGTGTCTGTTGGCCATTTGTATGTCTTCTTTGGAGAAATGTCTGCCCATGTCTTCTGCCTATTTCTTGATTGGATTATTTGTTCTTTGGGTGTGGTGTTTGATAAATTCTTTGAAGATCTTGGATACTAGCCCTTTATCTGATATGTCATTTGTGAATATCTTCTCCCATTCTGTCAATTGTCTTTTGGTTTTATTGACTGTTTTCTTTGCTGTGTGAATGCTTTTTATCTTGATGAAGTCCCAATAGTTCATTTTTGCCTTTGTTTTGTTTGCCTTTGGAGACGTGTTTAGCAAGAAGTTGCTGGGGCTGAAGTAAAAGAGGTTGCTGCTTGTGTTCTCTAGGATTTTGATGGATTCTTGTCTCACATTTAGTTTTTCATCCATTTGGAGTCTATTTTCGTGTGTAGTGTAAGGAAATGGTACAGTTTCATTCTTCTGCACGTGGCTGTCCAATTTTCCCAACGCCATTTGTTGAAGAGACTGTTTTTTTTCCATTGGATATTCTTTCTTGCTTTGTCGAAGATTAGTTAACCATAGAGTTGAGGGTTCATTTCTGGGTTCTCTGTTGTGTTCCATTAGTCTATGTGTCTGTTTTTGTGCCAGTACCATACTGTCTTGATGATGACAGCTTTGTAATAGAGCTTGAAGTCTGGAATTGTGATGCCACCAGGTTTGGTTTTCTTTTTCAACATTCTTTTGGCTATGTGGAGTGTTTTCTACTTCCATAAATTTACTTACTTCTTAAAACAAGAGTCCCTGCTTGTTTCACTGTTTTTGGTGCATTCTCTTATGACCTCTTTTAATTTGACTGTAAACGATTCCTCCATTTCCTATCTGTGCTTTTTAGTCTTCTTGTTGAAATTAGAAACACAGTACAAATGTATTGGAAAACACTGAGTTGCAGTTAGAAGAGACCATATGAAAACTAGGTAATCATCGGTTTATATATCTAGAGAAACTTGAGATTTTTTTAGAAAGAGAATTTTTTTTAAAGATTTTATTTATTTATTTGAGATAAAGATAGCAAGAATGAGTGAGCGAGAGAAAGAGAGAGAGAAGGGCATGAATGGGGGAGGGGCAGAAGGAGAAGTAGTTTCCCCCCTGAGCAGGGAGCCCAATGTGAGACTCTAAGCGGGGCTCCATCCCAGGACCCTGGACTCGTGGCCTGAGCCAAAGGCAGATGCTTAACTGACTGAGCCAGCCAGGGGCCCCAAGAATGTTTTCTTTAATTCAGAAGGAAAAAAGGAGGTAACCCACACCCTGTTACTGCGTTGTGTTCCATCAAGGTCTATTATACCAAAATCTTCTGTTTACATCTCTCTGTGAGCTACTTGAAAGTAAGGACCCTGCTTATTAATTCTTTAATTCTGAACGTCTGGCACAGAGCAGATTTTCATTTCAAGTTTGTTGAAGTTTATCTTTCCTGGTCTTTAGGATGCAATAAATTGTATAACACACCCTTGATTTAATAAAAGCTTTACATGGGAGGAAAAAAAGAGGCACCACATCTGTATAATACATTTGTAAATAGCTATTCTAAAACACATCCTGATTTCAAGAAAGTCAGAGTTCAAAAAGTGTGCCTCAGAATGGAGGAAATCCTTTGATTGTCCTTTACTGGACTTCTGGGCCCCCAAACAGAGTGGACTCACCTCCGTTATGTCAGCAGGCAAAAATTATTTTTTTTTTCTCGGACAAAAACTCTTTCGTGCTGGTTTTATTGACTGAGATCATCCTACTCTTCCTCCAGTGCTTTTTTTGGAGAGGACTATTAACTTCCAAATAGTTATCTGTTACTGTTTTCTTGGATTTCCATTTCCTTGTATTAAGCACTTCTGTTCAAAATTCCTCCCTGGCTTTATGGCCTTCTATTGTCTCAAAGGCCCTTCCTCTAAGGCTCCTTTCTCCCTCTGTAGTTCTCATTAATCTTGTCCCCAGTGCAGGCACTTTTCAAGGCTCAGTTCCCTTCCTTCTTCAGGCTTCATGGTCTTCAATCCTGGCTCCACAGGAGTATCACTCAGAAAGCCCTTTTAAAATGTCTAAGCCCAGATCCCAGCCTACATCAATGGGATCAGTCAACTTGGCTGGAATATTAGTGCTGTGACTCTTGGTCATGTAACTGAACCTTTGAAATTCAATTTCTTCACTTGTAAAATTAAGATGATGTTAAAATCTGCTTCAACAGAGTGCCTAATACATTCTTATTCCCCATGATAACAGCAAACATCGTCTCTTCTTTTCTTTCATTTATTTAAAGCCTGCATTTTCTTGAAAATTCAACTCAAATTCTTCCTTTCATTTATTGAAAACATGTGTTTTCTTGAAAATCCCACTGAAATCATGAACTGGATGGCATAGGGAATGATATTAACTTTTTCTTAATAATCCTCTATATTATTTGATTTGTAGCCACAAGCATGAATTATATGTGTAAGGTTAACAGTTATTAAAAAGCATGAGACACAGCATAATGTTTTTTAAAAGTCATATAGTTGTTTAATGTCTGTCTCCTCCCCTAAAATACAAATTCCAAGAAGAGCATATGTTGGGCTTGTCTAGTTCACCACTCTGGCCACAGAATGCTTCAAACAGGAGGTACTAGATTTATTGAGCGAACACCATTGATTGAGAAGGACAGGACATGAAAACTGAATGGGAGGCTAAAACACTAACCTTGCCCAGAAAGGAGATGGCTCTTAGTCCCACTTAGAGAACACGAGGTGGTGGGGCACACCCGGGCCTGTCCAAGTCAGCGTCTTATTCAAGAGCACCCTCCCAGCCAGAGACTTGGGTGAGAAGCCTCTTAAACAGTGGATATGGCTGAAGTCTCAAGAGGGAGGCAGCATTCAGGTTATTGGCATCTGACTAGTTAAAAGCAGGACCTGGGCCAGAGGCCCAGGCAAATCTATGGGGTCATCATTATACTTTTTAAAAAATTCTGAACTTTCCTAATTATCATTTTGTAATGATAATTGCCTTCATTATGCATTTGGCACTTTACATACACGAACTGATTTTATAATTTATACAAATATATATCCAATCTCCAATTTCCCAGTTGAGTATGAGGTCTTTGTTTATAAATGTTTACATGTCATGATCTGACACAAACCATATCATATTCCCTAGAAATGAATATAGCTAACATTCTTTCACCTAAGGAAAGTGTTCAGAGCTTAAGTATTTCCCAGATCCTTTCTAATGTTTAATGTTAAAATAAATGCAGTAAATTTTCACACTTATATTACCAGTGTTTGTAGAAGTTTCTTTGATTTTCAGTGACTTTTAATGGGTTTCTTTGGTTTAGAAATTTTTCATAGAGCACTTACAGATAGATGCCTGCAGTGTTATCTGAACAAATTAAATTGGTATTTTAATAACATGTGCTTTGCAAGCAATAAACTGTAACTATTTCTCTATGGCTTTAAACATAAGACATGCTTTGTACATTACAGGAATTGCCCAGTGAGATCTTTCGTTGTCCTGGGATTCTGTTGTGGTAACTAGTAGGCTTTTGACATGGGGTTTGAGGGCTTTTCTCTTTTGGGGGCAGCTTATATTGTGGCAGAGCAGAAGGAGACTGGAATTCATTCATTTTGCTCATGATAATAGCTGTGTCCTTCAACAAATAAAAATGATTGAAAGAGGCTCCAGAAATTCTCACTATCAAAAATCTAAAGATAACAAAGATATATTGAATCTGCAGTCTTATAAGAACAATGCTGATTGATTCCTTCCCACTTAGGAATCAGAATTACAGGTGATAAACCTAGGTTTTGCTCTTTTCCCATAATTTAACATACCTTAAGGTAAGACATTTTTAATTTAGTTTGCCTTAAGATAGCACGAATTCAAGTCATTGTGTGACTTCAGTAGGATTACGTTTATTAACCCAGGTTACCCATGATGATAGTTTCTAGGCCAACAGCATGAAATGAGGTTTTCTTTTAAACCAAAAAAAAAAAAAAAAAAAAAAAAGTGTGTTGCTACTATTTCACAGACAGAATTATTTATATAGTTAATTCTACCTTACTCATCCAGTTGGTGTTCTCAATAGCTGCTGGCTGGCTCTCTTTTTCTCCACTTGCTTACTCTCACAGTTGCTTACTCTCTTCCTGCCTTGCCCCTTTCCTTCCCCTAATTAAACCTAACAGGCCATGAAAATTTTATGTTTTTATTAGGAATAAAAATTCATGATTTTACAAAGAAACCTACCTGAAATAAAAAGAAATAAAGTTGTAATATACTCAAAAGTAAAAAAAAAACAAAACAAAAACCAAAACAAAACAAAAAACAAACATTACTAGTTTAAGAAGGAAACACATCAATTAATTAGCTAAATAATTAATTAACAATGTATTAGCATGTGCTTACCATGGGTTTTGGTATCTGTGGCTTATTTTATCAATAGAGGCTTGACTTAGTTCTCCATACTGTAAAAGAAAGAAAAATTACTTAACCTAACTTCCAGGTAAATTGGCACCAGCATGTCTAACAGTCTGTACTCCTAGACAAAAAGGAAGTCAGGCTGGGAAATGAAATAAGAGATGGTAAATACAATTAAAAAACATAACCTTTTGATTCTTGATTTGAGAAAAAAAATGCAAGAAGTAAAGCAAATATCATGCTGTATGCTTTATTTGCCTTCTCTGTAAAAGGAGAAATATTAGTAGTAGGAAGAGTGTAGCCCATAGTTCCAAAACTCCTTTCTGTTTTTATGATTCTGTCTGATAATGAGCAGGCATCCTAAACCACTATTCAGACCCAAACAGTCTAATTCCTTTTACTTCATCTTATCCTCACAGAATTAGCAAATGTGGTGGCAATAATGTAGGAAAAACTGGGTTATAGACAGCCTGTGGTAAAGTGTAAATCTGAAAACTCCTTTCAGAAAGCATAATTTAGAACATTGATGTTCCTACATAAAAAAAATAATCCCCACACTCTCTCATGTACATTGAAATGATCCATTATCACTGAACAAATGGCCTTTCTATACAGGCTCCTTTACCCCAGGAACTAGGCAGTGGATGGCACATCTTGTGAATAAGCAAGGGGAATAGGGGTGTCAAATTTATATTGGAAAGCCTTTGGTCTATAATCATTACTCAATTTTCCATACTTGGGTTGGGAAACAATGATCTGGATTATCAAAAGTATCTCACTTCAGTTTTGGAAACCATTTTTCACTTACATTGATGTGGGATGCTATATTCATAACATCTTGAAAAGTAGCAAGATTGAATCATAATTTCAGCATCAGAAGAAATAGTATGTTTTTTTTAATCCTCCCCTTTTCTTCCTTTTCCCTCAAGCTTTACTTTAGGACATTCCTGATCAAGTCCTTCAGAGTTATTTGTGTTAGGAAAACAGATCTATTTGTCATCTTTTCAGAGATGAAGTTGAAGCCTTCATCACTTCTACCTCTTTAATATTCATGTATCAATAAATAAAAGCAGGGACAAGAAAAACAAGGTTTAGAGGCACCTGGGTGTCTCAGTGGGTTAAAGCCTCTGCCTTCGGCTTAGGTCATGATCTCAGGGTCCTGGAATCGAGCCCCACATCGGGCTCTCTGCTCAGCAGGGAGCCTGCTTCCTCCTCTCTCTCTGTCTGCCTCTCTGCCTACCTGTGATCTCTGTCTGTCAAATAAATAAATAAAATCTTAAAGAAAAAAAAAAGGAAAATCAAGGTTTAAATGCAAGGGTGGCCCATTATTCCATAGAAGATTTGAAAAGTAGTAATCTGTATAGATCATGGTATAACTTTCTCAGTTATTTCTGACATGTGATTCCCTAGAATTGACCTTACCAACTGACTTATAAATAACTTTGTTATCAGCATTTTGACAAATTTTCCAGGAATTGGACAATCTTCTTTGATCTTTGTTACCATTTTTAAAACACAAAAATTGTAGTGTCTTAATCTGGAAAGACTTTTATTAGAAATAAGCAACAGATTCTTTTGCTATGCCCTCCTGTACTTTAGTTATTAGTGTATAATGTCATAAAACATTTACTTAAAATAAGCTGTCCCTTCTCAATTTATTAATGAAATCCACCACAGTTTATTTGGATAATCTTGCTGCCTGTGGTGTTAAATCTAATGAAATTCAGAATGAAAAAGATCTTTGTCTTTTTTTTTAAAAACTGGTCAGTTGTTCATAAGAGTAAAGAAAAGACTGAATCAAAACCTAGCTCAGCATCTTCATAGAAACAGGTAACAATGCATTAGTATGGTCTCTAGCTTAATGAAATCAGTTAGTTTGAATATTTTAACAAGTACAAACAATCATAACCCAAAAGTGGGCATTTCCTATGAAGCAATCTTTAAAGAAGGGAAGTAACTACTAACTACATTCAGGTACTGTGAATTAGCTATTATCTCTGAAATGGGTTAAAACCTGTTAAATTTGAGCTAATTGCATACCTACGGGGCCCATTCCAGTTCACAACTGAAACTGTTGCTTAATACTTTCCCTTTTAATCTCAAACCACTTCTAGGCTAGTATGTGCTAATGTCCCCACATACTTAAGAAATCTTTTTGGGACCGATCATGGAGGAATCCTCTTGCTTTTCTACCGTACTCGAGTCAACATGCTTTTCTTAATATATCCAATTTTGATTTATTTATTTATTTATTTATTTTTTACTAAAAAGAGCTATTTTCCATCTCTGTAACTATGAGGTCTTTCTTGCCCGTAGAATGAATACAATGGCAATGCATTTCAAGAATGCGTAGACACTAGCGTTTCTCTTCTCTATCCTCCTTCTTGGTAACATAGAGCTCTTAGTACCAAACATTTGAGTGGAAAATTCCCTAAGGCTACCTTTTCTTATGCTAATGTATTTTTTCTTCACTTGCCTCAATTTGCAAAATATTACTGTTAACCCCTTAGGTGTCTTTCTTCCCACAGCCTGTGAGAAGCATTCTCATTGTTGTAGCTGGATCACCGAATTGCATAATATTGCCTATTCTAGACTAGAACTATTGAAGGGTGAAAGGGGGCATAAAGGCCTTTGTAAGAATGGCACATTTGAAGTATTCATTTTATATTCAGGGCATGAGTAGAAACAAAACAATTCTTTCTGAAAAATGTCAGTATTTAAGGCATGGACTCTGCGATGCGTTTTTTTTATTAAAATGCAAAAAAAAAAAAAAAAGCAGAGACCCATACTTCATTTTATGCTACATTATATATGGGCTTGAGTTCCAACATAAATTATATCCTGGTATCTCTTTTTTTAACTGCAGTGTTTTTTTGGTTTTTTGTTTGTTTGTTTGTTTGTTTTAAAGATTTATTTATTTATTTGTTTGACAGACAGAGATCACAAGTAGTCAGAGAGGCAGGCAGAGAGAGAGGGGGAAGCAGGCTCCCTGCTGAGCAGAGAGCCCGATGCGGGGCTCGATCCTAGGACCCTGAGATCATGACCTGAGCCGAAGGCAGAGGCTTTAACCCACTAAGCCACCCAGGCGCCCCTAACTGCAGTGTTTTTAAATAATTTGAATTAATACATCATGAGGTTTTATGAGTTTGTTGACTATGGCCCCTGCATCTCTGTTTTCTGTGGAGTATCCAAATAATGAGCAACATATTCCATCATGCTTCTAATGTGCTTATAATACTATAATTCAAAAATCCATGTAGGCAAGAAAATATGGTATATATAAACACCAGTGATACTGGATCCCATTATTGAGACATTCTCCTAGAAACTATGATAAGAGTTTTACATACATATCTCTCTTAATCCATTTAACAATACCATATGGTATTATTATTATTATTATTATTATCCCTGTGGTGGGCAGAATTCTAAGATGACCCCCACTATTCTCATCCCTTGGTATATACATCTTCTCCCAGATAGTCCACCAAATACTGATCTAATTACTGCTGTGAAGGGATTTTAATTAAGACCTTAAATCAGTTGACTTTAAGAAAGGGAGATTATCCTCAGTGGACCTTCTTTAATCAAGTAACCTCTTAAAAGGATCTGGGCTCTTCCTGGCAAAGGGAATTTGAAGTGTGAGAGGGATTTGATATGGGGGAGACTCTGTGCTGGTTTTCAGATGGGGGGTGCTACGTGGGAAAGAATGTAGGCAGCTTCTAGATGCTAAGGATGGCCTGCCGCTAAAAAGCCAGCAAAGAAGTGGGACCTCAATCCACAACCATGAGGAACTGAAATCTGCCATAACCACGTGAACTCTGATGAGACCACAAGCCTCAGACAAGGTCACAGCTACAGCGAACACCTTGATTTCAGTTTTCTGAGACTCAGGCAGAGAACCCAGCCATGCCTTCCAGGACCTCTCACCTACAGAACTACGAATAAAAAAAAAAAAAAAATGGGTGCTGTTTTAAGCTGCTAAATTTGTGGTAATTTGCTCTGCCCAATAGAAAACAAATACAGTTCCCATTTTACAGACAGGAAAACTGAGATGTTATAAAAAACAGGCAGTCTAGCATGCAAAGGGAGAAAAAGGGGAAAATGAAGAGTTCTTCAAGTGGCTACTTTTGCTTGTAAGTCACATTCAGTTTTTCGCTAAATTCACAATTATGCCCTGAAAAGCATTAGGAATGCTAGTTGCCCCATTTATTCTCAGAGAGAAGACAAATATCTGTTATTTTGTTGCCATACTTCTCCAGGACAATAAGTGTTCTCCTTATTCATTCTCTATTTAAAATACCCAAGGACTTTGGTTTAAAGGAAGACTAGAGCTTGTTCTGTTGGGAATTGTGAGGCTTTGTGATGAGTAGCCATTCTACTACCAGCCCTTCCTCTGGAGTGGGTTGATGATCCAGGCTCTGAGATCTGCACAGATTCAGCTAGTGGAGCTACAGAGACGCTACACAAGAGCTTCCTAGGTCTCTGTTTGTGCTCAGGGCACAGTTTCTGAAATATAATCAAGTGCATGTTTTGCAAGTGTTCTCACCCTTGGAGTTTTCTGATGTGTTGGCACAGTTGTTAATTCAAAGGTTACAAAGTGTGCTTCTCCCAAGCTAATTGTCCAATTAGCTTTACAACACAGAATTACACAAGGGGTGGCAGCTCAGGCTGTAGGAACAGTAACGGTATAACTAAGTCTTAGCAAAAAAGGGGAAAAAAAGATGGTACATAGTTTTCAAATGCCTATGGAATAAGCTAGGAGTACAACAGTTCTCAATCGAATGCACGCTTCAAACTTCATTTCTTCCCTTCTGCAACTTGGTCTCTGCACAAAGACACTGCATGAGAAGTGAAGCCATCTCCATGCCTATCTCCGATTACTTATTGATAATCATCTACACCATGCTAAGCAGTAGGAAAGTGGTGTTGATGTTGTCCATACAAGATTAAATAAAACAGATCTCAGACCTCAAGTTGCTTAAAGCCATTTAAAAGGTGGTATCTGGTCCCCAATGTTTATGGCAGCAATGTTCCCAATAGCCAA